TTTTTTTTTTTAAACGCTTACACAGACCTTCTATCAGCCCTGTAGGTGTACTACTTATAGGCTTTATTTATCCACTTATTTACAAGTTAATGGGTTTTGTTGGTAGTGATTCTGAATAATTTGAAACTTGAGATTAACCCAAGTATTTTTTCAGCTGAAGTTGGGAATTGTAATTGGGATAGTATCAGTTATAGCTAATGTCTAGGTATACTCTTTAAAATGAATTATGATTTAATACTGTATTTTTGCCATGGGAGCCATTTGTGCATTTTGCATTTCATATTTTGGTTCATTTTTATTAACATGCAATAAACAAATTTAGTAGCAAACTTAAAAAATAATAAAAATGAGCATCTATTGTGTTGAACATGGCATGATGTAAATACTTTCTCTAGACTTTATTCAGAGACTGATTTAACTTCTATGACTTGGTGTCCTAATGTACAGAATACACATTGTGCATTTCGTGGAAGGCAAACAGGTTATTTTCAAGCTAATTAGAAAAAATAGCAAGGTCCTGATAATGTTTAGAAGACTGATGCTTTCTAATTGGACTTACTTATGCTGGCAAGAAATCCTAGTCAAAATATTTAAAATATCCTTTATATGATTTTACCTTAACTTTCCCCCAAAAGTAAGTTGAACTTTTATATGTATAAGACATGGCATTGCCTACCAGCCCTTTATAATTAAAAGTAAGGCTAGAGATGAATTTTTATGACCCCTCTTTGCCACTCTTTCAGAGCTAATTAATATTTTGTTCCTGTGGCTATTTCTTGGTACTTGGATTAATCTGATTCATTAATAACCTAAATTGAAGTTTTTGTGGTGTCTTGGTCTTTGTTGTGAATGTTATTCTCTCATTGTGGCAGAAATGAAGTTAAAAATGCTTTTTATTTAATGAAGCACTAGCTAAACTAGATTTTATCATGTTAAAAATCAATTATTTATACATTAAGGCTTTTAGAGTATTCCTAATAAAACTGTTTCTCATGTTTAAACAGGCTTTCTGTAACAGAAAGAAAGTGGTTAGGAGTAAGGGCTTTGAAATCAGATAGATCTGAGTTCTTTATCCACAGACCTTTGTGATCATAGGCAGAGCATATACTGTGCAATTGTGTCCTCATCTGTAAAATGAGGATAATCTCTGCCTCACAGGGTTGTCATAAGGATTAAATATGAAAATACATGAGGCCAATGCAGGAAGATGGCGTAAGCCCAGGAGTTTGACACCAGCCTGGGCAACATAGCTGGGTCCCATTTCTACAAAAAATTTAAGTATTAGCCAATGTGGTGACATGTGTCTGTAGTCCCAGCTACTCAGGAGGCTGAGGTGGAAGGAGTGCCTGAGCCCAGGAGGTCAAGGTTGCAGTGAGCCGTGATTGTACCCCTGCACTCCAGCCTGGGCCACAGTGAGACCCTGTCTTGAAAAAAAAAAAAAAAAAAGAAAAGAAAAAGAAAATGTATGAAAAGTTCTTTACTTACTGCTTGATTCATAATCATTCTGTAGTTATAATTTTAAAGGTGATTGTGTTTATATGTATGTATTTTTGTTTTTAAAAAATAACTTCAGTGTCGTTCTGTTCCTTTTCAGGTCAGTTGAACACACCGATGGTCAGAGTGTCCTAACAGACTCACTGTGGCGGCGATATAGTGAATTTGAGTTGTTGAGAAACTACCTTTTAGTTTACTATCCACATATTGTTGTGCCACCTCTGCCAGAAAAACGGGTAAGAAGTGAAATGGCAGTAGTTTAGAAGTCTTCCACATTGAGACTATTCTTAATGATTGTTTTGTTTACCTAGGCAGAATTTGTTTGGCATAAACTCTCTGCTGACAACATGGATCCAGATTTTGTGGAGAGGCGACGGATTGGTTTAGAAAACTTTCTCTTGAGGATTGCTTCACATCCCATCCTTTGTAGAGACAAAATCTTCTATCTGTTTTTAACACAGGTATTTTTCTTTTATTTAGTCTTAGTAAAATATTCATTTAATTTGGGTTTCGTAAAAAAAAATTGTAGAATACTTATGTTAAGGATCTTTTTGTTAATTTACATGCAATTTATTTTTTTGTTATGAATTTCCAATTAATGGATTATGTTATTCTTTTGGCTAACATTTTTCTGTTTAAAGATACTGATGATGGTATTTTTGGTATCATTTAAATAATAGTAAAATTTGTCTTCAGTATTTTGAAGCTCAGATCTATAAAATCTTGGGTGCATCATTTGGTAATCTTTTAGAAGTTGGATTGAATTGTTTTGTTTTGTTTTGTTTTGAGATGGAGTCTCGCTGTGTCGCCCAGGCTGGAGTGCAGTGGCGCAAACTCGGCTCACTGCAAGCTCCGCCTCCCAGGTTCACGCCATTCTCCTGCCTCAGCCTCCGGAGTCGCTGGGACTACAGGCGCCCGCCACCTCGCCCGGCTACTTTTTTTGTATTTTTAGTAGAGACGGGGTTTCACCGTGTTAGCCAGGATGGTCTCAATTTCCTGACCTCGTGATCCGCCCGTCTCGGCCTCCCTAAGTGCTGGGATTACAGGCTTGAGCCACCACCCCCGGCCGGATTGAATGTTTAATTTTGAAGTGAAAAGAAATTTTTTTAAACCTCTCTCTCCAATCCCTGCTGAAGTAAGAACAGAATGATGGGAATTTAATTTACTTAATTTGGAATATTTGCTTTGCAGTAATGATTTCTAAAATTAACTTCAATTTTTAGGAAGGTAACTGGAAGGAGACTGTGAATGAAACTGGGTTTCAGCTGAAGGTAAGAATGTTTCTGTGAAATTTGCCATGTTCCTTTACAGTTCCCAGCATGGTGCCATGCACTAATTGTGAAGTTGGTATTTACTGTGTAAACGAATGTTGGAAATCATCTTTACAATAAGTGTCATTGGTAAGATTTTCAAAGAGACACTACAGTTCACTTTCAATTTGTGTAATTTTAGTTACTAGTGAGACTATAATGGGCAAATTTATTCTACAGGGAAAGAACATTGTGAAACAGTGATTTATTTTGTTTTTTTTTAGTTAGTGTTTGTAGTAATGAAGCAGTAATTTAAATACAAGTTGTAGATTTTCCCCAGTGTACTAGTATTATACCTTGCCTCTTTTTTTTTCTTCTGTCCTGTTTCCTCTCATATCCCTGCCCCTGACAATTGCTCACTCTATCAGATATGAAAGAGTCCAACCTTACCAGTCTAAAAGAAAAGCCCTCGGTCATGCTTCTTCTGTCTGTTGAGACATGGTGGCCAGTTTTAAATGGGGACAAAGGAGTCATTTTGAAATAGTTCTAAGTTAGTTTTATCTGTTGGTGGTACAGGATTATTTAGTTTTTGTAACAGCTTTTTAAATTTAGTCATTAGAATTAGTGTTTGGGAATGAGTGGTGATCTGAAAATCAAGGAGCATAGTGGTGGTGAGCTGGACACCTGAATTCTCTGCTGCTCTTTATTTCTTTCCTAAAATAAATACAACAAAGGTTATTACAAACTTTTAAAAGTTTTCATCTCTGGTGTAAACTGAATAGGTAAGTAGACTAACAATATAAATTGATATATAACATAATATAAATCGTTAAATGACTCACATGAAAATACAGTATCAAAAGTTTAATATAATATGTCTAGACAAGAAGAAAATTTTTTTACAGTAAAATTCCCATGCATTGGCAGATAGGTATTTGAAATTTGGCACAAAACAAACTAGAAAGAGGAAATTTTTTTCTGCAAAGAAAATATGATAAACCAGTTCTGTCATAAACTGATTCTAATTTATAAATATTTTGAGGTTTTTATGATTTTGAGACAGAGTCTTGCTCTGTCACCCGGGCCGGAGTGCAGTGGTGTGATCATGGCTCACTACATCCTTGAACTCCTGGACTCAAGCCATCTGCCTGCCTCAGCCTCCCAAGTAGCTGAGACTACAGGTGTATGCCACCATACCTGGCTAATTTTAACTTTTTTCTTCTGTAGAGATGAGGTCTCACTATGTTGCCTAGGCTAGTTTCGAACTCCTGAGCTCAATTGATTCTCTCACCTCAGCCTCCCAAAGTGCTAGTTTTACTGTGCCCAGCTATAAATATTTAGTTGACAGATGTACTGAAACAATTAGAATTTTCTTGGCTGTAATTCATCACTTAATAACACTCAGAGGGGATGGTAGAATTTTAGTTTAGGGTTGGATTTGAAATAACTCGGAAGTTTAAAAACTGATTTATGTTTAGATAGCGTTTTCTGAAAAATAGTTCAAGATATGTTAAAAGCTAACAAGGAAAAGATTAAAATACAATCGTTTTAGTGAATTCTCTTTATATAACAAAAATTTTAAAAAGTCTAGTCATTAAGTCTTTACTGTAGTTAATAGTTACAAGTTTTTGTCCTTGAATCCAGTTTTTGGCCATAGCTTTAGTGATTCTGAGAAAACTCTTGAGTTCCCCATCATTATAAAATTGCTATTTACCAAGTGCCTTGAATCTTATGTGTAGGTGCTACTTAAGTATTTAGATAGAATGTTTCATTGTGGGGGAGCCTTATGTATTGTACTTTTAAAAAGTATTTGAAAGGTAATATTACTATACAGAATTAATAATTCAAAACATCAGACTTCTAATGAAGTGAGCCAGAAACAAAATTGATGGAGAGAATTCAGAAACCCGTGTGTCTCTCTGTATTCCTTATTTTGTTGTGAATGTATGTCTTGTTTTAAGTCCTTCCTTCCGTCAGGGAAATGGGACCTTTTTGCATAGCCTCATATACATGTGTACATCATAGAAATGTCCACAATCATATGTACGTAACATACATATGTATATGTGTGTGTCTGTGTGTATATATATAGAGAGAGAGAGAGAGAGATTGAGTGTGTCACATTCCACTTATCTGGAGGTCATATATTTGGCAGTTACAGCTAACCTGATCACAGTTGAAAGCTGGGATTTAAGCAAAACTGACTTCTGAGATGTTCAAGGGGATGTAACATGGCTTCCTGCTATACTTTACTACTATACTTTGGTCTTCCCGGAGCAGACCCATTAATTTTATTGTAGGTATTCAGACAAACTTGGCTGTTTTTTAGGTTACAACATATTTTAGCAGAAGATTAAAAAGTGAGTGAAGACAGGCACATTGTGACAATAGTGACAATTGACAGCTGAGCCTGATAGCGGAAAAGAGGTAGCAGTGGTATGTGAGTCATACTTCACAGAATGGGTACATTTGGCATGACGCAAAATCCCTACCCACCTGTAATCCCTAAGGGTATCATAGATGGATTCAGTATTTGTTGTTTGTAATGGTTAACTGGAGGCCTCAAGAAAAAGTAGAATTTTGCTTGCGTACTCTTAATTCAGTGTGTGGTCAGTGGACTGCATGTAACTCAATTGATGGGATTGTTTGTTCAAAATACTGAATTCATCCCAGACGTCCTTAATCCCATTAGCCTAAAATTTGACAACTATTGCTATAAGGTGATAAAGAAAACTATTTTTAGGAAGATAATTTTAGAAAGATTTTCAAAAATGGTAAAAAAGAAGAAAACTTTTTTTAGAATCTAAAGCAGTTTCTTATCTAAGTATTACCATCATATATTCTTACTATTTGCTAGGCACTATGCTATAATTATATTATGTTTATTTTGCTGAATATTGCCTCAGTACCTTTGAGGTGAGTCAATATTCTCATTTTTTAGATGAGGAACTCTAGAACGTGACTTAGCCCAGGTCACATAATTATAAGTGATAGAGGCTGAATCCAAGTCTAGACTAACTCAAAGCCCTCCTTAATTACCATCCTATATTACCTCTCTTGCTTATTAATTATGTAATTAATATTTGCAGAGATTGTTGGTAAAGGAAGTGTTGAAAGCTTTATTTCTGTGAAAATGAGGTCATTCTGAATGAGACCAAATATTCATATCTTATAAGAATATTTGTCCTTGGCTCTTGGATTGTTATCCTCAAATTGAAATGTTATCTTTAATTTTCCTTTTCTCAGACTTATTTTATCTGTAGTTTTGGCCTACTAGATTAGTATTTTCTTCAAATGTTTTGAGTGATTATTACACCCAGCAAGATAATCTAAAATTTAGTTTCTTTTTTTTTTGAGATGGAGTTTCGCTCTGTCTCCCAGGCTGGAATGCAGTGGCGCGATCTCGGCTCACTGCAAGCTCCACCTCCCTGGTTCAAGCCATTCTTCTGCCTCAGCCTCCAGAGTAGCTGGGACTACAGGCACCCACCACCACGCCTGGCTAATTTTTTTGTATTTTTAGTAGAGACAGGGTTTCGTCGTGTTAGCCAGGATAATCTCAATCTCCTGACCTCATGATCTGCCTGCCTCGGCCTCCCAAAGTGCTGGGATTATAGGCGTGAGCCACCGCACCCGGCCAAAATTTAGTTTCTTTTTATCTGTGTTCTATTTAACGTAAGCAGGAGCAACCAATTTTTTCATCATTACTGGTTTTTGGCATTTCTTCTTTTTTGGGGGGTGGAATAGTTGTATAAATACTCAATCTGGGCTTGGTGGCATGTTCCTATAGTCCTAGCTACTTGAGAAGCTGAGGCAGGAGAATCACTTGAGCCCAGGAGTTTGAAACCAGACTGGGCAACATAGTGAGACTCTGTTTCTATTTAAGAATAAATACCTACACAAAATATAAATACTCATTTTACTTAATTCAGTGAAAGAAGAGCAAAGGGTTTATCCCTAGAGTAATGAACATATAAACTAGTTGATTTAATATAAAAGTAACATTTTAACTCAGTTAACATGAAAGTATTCTTCTAAATACCCAATCCTTAAATGAATTTAGGCTGATTCATAAGAACCCAGGACCCTGCCTCTTCCTTGGAGCAAGAACTACCAGAGCCAAGGTCTGGGCCCTTAGTTAGGATCTCTGTTAATCTCGTTATTGCACAGGAACTCTGAGAGATCCAATGTGGAGATTCCAAATGCTGGTCCCTACAGCGCGAGGTACTCTTCTAAGTGTTATGGATACAGTAGTGAATGAGCTGGAAATGTTCATAAACTCTGTGTTATTGTGGAGCTTATATTTTAGTCGTCAGAGACATTAAGTTAGCATTTAAATAAAAGATAAGATACTTTAAAATAGTGGTAAGTAGTATAAAGGAAATAAAGCATCATCCTTGTTGGGGAATATGACAGCAGGGATTATTTTTAAGGGTTACCCTAAGATGGTGACCATAAAGTTTATTATCCAAGTGGGGACCCTTTGGAGAGGAAATGGGGACGTTTAAGATGAGGACAACACGTTGCACTCCAACCTGGGTGACAGAGCAAGATTCTGTCTCAAAAAAAAAAAAAAAAAAAAGGCTAGGACGACATTCATAAATCAGGACTGTCCTGGGCAAACCAGGCCACATGGTCAGCCTCCTTTAAAAAGCTTACATTTGAGCTGAGACATTAGTGATGATAAGAAACCTGCAGTGGAGTCACCAGAGGCCAAGGAAGAGGAATGCTCCTTGAGAGGGAGGCCCAGGCAGGGTGTGCCTTACTAGGTAATGTGTTGGGGAAGATAAAGCAGGTAAAAGTGTTGCCACAGCAGCCTTTGTACAGTCCAGGGGCCACCTTCACACTGGGTCTTTTTATGGCTCTTCTATTCTTTTTTTTTTTTTGAGGGGGATGAAGTCTTGCTCTGTCGCCCAGGCTGGAGTGCCATGGTGCGATCTCGGCTCACTGCAAACTCTGCCTCCCGGGTTCAAGGGATTCTCCTGCCTCAGCCTCCTGAGTCGCTGGGATTACAGGCATGTGCCACCACGCCGGGCTAATTTTTTGTATTTTTAGTAGAGACAGGGTTTCGCCATATTGGCCACGCTGGTTTCAAACTCCTGACCTTGTGATCCGCCTGCCTCGACAAAGTACTGGGATTACAGGCATTGAGCCACTGCGCCTGGCCTATAGCTCTTATATTCTTAATGGACAGCCAAGAATCAAGTGAACAATATGATTTCAGATAATGCTGTTCTAGAGGGAGTAAAATAGGATCATAGGAAACAATAAGGAATTAAGGGGCATCTTTAGGTGTTGAATGGGGAATCTGATTAGGTGGGCGATAACCTATCAGATTTGGAACAGTCCAGGTAGTTTTTCAGAGATCCAGCTTTTGGGAGAAGTTTCTGGTTTGGTGACATTTTAGGCAGCTTTCCCCTTTTCGTGTAATCTTGTGAAATGAGCAGATTGAGTTGGATGTGGAGATGGACCTGATCTGACAAAACATTTGGTAAGCAAAAGTTAGAATGGTGATCTTTTACATTTATAAATGGCTTTTAAATTGGTAAATTGGTGACTTTAAAAGAAAAAATTAATTGCTGATGTTAAAAAGCAAGAGATTCAAGAAAAGATACAAATGAATCTCTTTTTCCTTAGTGTTTTATGTAGTTTCATCTTCATTTAAAGAATCACATTTTGCATGTGATTGAAGTTGTAAGCACAAGATCCTTTGGTTTTTAGTTATTTTTAATATATGCCTTAAATTCATAGATATTTTTATTTATAAGGACTTTGACATATATTAGCTCATTTTTCCTTGAGATGTAAGAAAGGTCCAGAATTTGTGAAATACTGATTTTAGAAATTGGAGAATTCCATAGGAGAATTCCCTAAAATCAAAATAAACTACTTTAGGTATTGTTTAGATAGCTCTTTAAATCTCTTTTGGTCTGAAGTTCTAGGAGACTGAACTTGTGAGTAGTGTATTTGTTATATTTGTTTTTATTTTCTTAACCAGGTAATCTGGGAAGCCTTAGTAATATTTTTGTTTTGTTTGTTTATTCATTAACAGTATTTGTAATTATGGGTTGGAAGTTGTAATAGTGTGAAATTTTCAAGGTGGGATTTCAAAAACCAGACCACATTTGAAGGTAGCTCAATTGATTCCTGATTGAGCTACCTTTTATGAACCCTAATAGTTCTTGTATCTTGGTTAGAAAAGTTGTTTGGTTGTCTTTTTTTTTTTTAATGAGAATTTAGGACAGGACAGGATTTGGATGTGTTAAGTAAACATTTTATGCAGTGAAATTATTATTTAGTATTTATCTCTCTGTTTCTTCTTTGAGAGTAATTATCTAGAAATAAGTGAATAAAATAGTTAAAAAGTTGTGTTGTCTGACAACATTTTCTGCTAGCTAGAAAGTAATTGCTGTCATCTAGCTCGTTTTATTTAGTAGAGTGTTACTTAGTACATGTATTTCTATATTCTTTCTTCTAAAATATAGATTGTGAAAATGAGAAAAACCAATGTACATTTGCTTTGGATTCCATCTGAGAACTACCCTCAGTAGATGCAGACTCTAAAGCAGTAGTTTCTTTTTTGAAATGGAGTCTCTCTGTCGCCCAGGCTGGAGTGCAGTGGCATGGTCTCAGCTCACTGCAACCTCTGTCTCCCAGGTTGAAGTGACTCTCCTGCCTCAGCCTCCCAAGTAGCTGGGATTACAGGCACGCACCACCACACCCAGCTAATTTTTTTGTATTTTTAGTAGAGTCGAGGTTTATCCTTATTGGCCAGGCTGGTCTCAACCTCCTGACCTCAAGTGATCCTCCTGTCTCGGCCTCCCAAAGTGCTGGGATTACAGGCATGAGTCACTGTGCCCGGCCATTAAAGCAGTAGTTTCATTTAGTTTATATATACAGATCATTGCTTTTCTTGGCTTAGAGAAAAACTACTGTTTTCACATGACCTCTTCCGAATTCTAATAACGCATTGCTATATGCCTGTTCGTGTATTGGTTGGTGTGTACAGTTGTTTTACTTTGGTACCATTGAATGCCTTGTATTCAGTCTATTTTATAGTATGTTTTTGTAGTGTTTTCAAAAATAATTACTAAGCTTTTTTTTAGGCATGTTTAATGTGTTTACAACAATTGATATGAAGAAAACTGTATTTGAGCATCTTAATTCTAAAGGGAAAGTAAAATTGTTTGAATTTTATACCCTGAAATGTAATTGTATTAAGTGAACAAATTATTTTTTCCAGGCAGACTCCAGGTTAAAAGCGCTTAATGCAACATTCAGAGTGAAAAACCCAGACAAGTAAGGTTTTGTTTTAATAACAGTTACAATGTTGTTTTGAATGGTGCCTATCAGTCTATTTAATTTTTCATTTCTGAATGTATGCACTTTATTTGCTAAATATTTTACATATTCACATTTAGTGAAATCCTTTTCAAGTTTAAAACTGAATTTGAAATTTGATAACTTGATTGGGGGTATGATTGTAACTGAAGTTTTATAAAATTAAACCATTGCTTTTTTCTAGAAGGGTTTATTAATGTTGTTGCAGATATCAGAAAAATGAGAAAAGTAATTTTAATTTTATAGTTTTCCTTATATGATTTTGCTTGTTGAATATGCATGGCTCAAGATAAGAAAATTATATACTTTTTACATATACTTAATAATGAACCATCTAGTTTGTATACCAAGAAAATTTCACAAAGGTGTATGACAAATACTTGATTTTATTAATATCAGCTAGTGTTTGTGAGAGCATTTCCATATTAAAAGAAGCCAGTGTATTCAGAAATTACTTAACATGGGGTGAGACCTATGTATTTAAGATTTTGGTTTTGCTTAATCTTTAAATGTGGTGGATAATTCAAACTCTATGGACCTTTACTTGGCAATTTGGTTCAGTTAGAGTTTTTTAGCTGGATATGTGCTTAGGCAGATGAGGCTTTTTTGTTTTGCAGGACCAAATTTATGAAGTCTGTTAGAATTTCTCTAGTGAATCCTTCCGCACTAATTTCTACATTGTGTAAATTCTTACCAGACAAAGGCGAGGTCTGCATGTTTTGATGACCTATTATGCCTGACTTTATAAACCATAACATATTAACAAAATGCCCCTGATTTTCCATATAAATTTTTAATATAAAATCTAAATGAATATTTTTAAATTTTGGTAATTAGGAGGTTGTGATGGTAACTTGATTTTTTAAATTTTAGTTTTAATTTTTTTTATTTTTTGAGACAGAGTCTTGCTCTGTCGCCCAGGCTGGAGTGTAGTGGCGTGATCCCTGCTCACTGCAACCTCGGCCTCCCAGGTTCAAGCAATTATCCTGCCTCAGCCTCCCGAGTAGCTAGGATTATAGGCACCCCCGACAATGCTCAGCTAATTTTTGTATTTTAGTAGAGATGGAGTTTTGCCATGTGTTAGGCAGGCTGGTCTCAAACTCCTGACCTCAGGCGATCCACCCGCCTTGGCCTCCCAAAGTTCTGGGATTACAGGTGTGAGCTACCATGCCTGGCCTTTTTTTTTCTTTTCTTTTTTTTTAATAGACTATTTTTAAGAGCAGTTATAGGTTTAGTAGAGTTGGCAACATTGAGCAGAGTATACAGAGAATTCCCATATACCTTCTCTTCCACACCCCTCCCCACTGACCTGTCAGAGCCTCCCTAACTATCAGCATCCCACACCAGAGAGCTGTGTTTGTTGCAGTTGGTGAACCTACATTGAAACAGCGTTATCAGCAAAGACCATCATTTATGTCAGGGTTCACACTTGGTGTTGGGCAGTTTTTGAGTTTGGACAAATGGATAATAACATGTACCCACCATTATCATTTTATACAGAATACTATTACTGTCCTAAAAATCCTCTCTGCTGCACCTGTTCATCTCCTTCCTCAACTCCTGGCAACCACTGATCTTTTTATTATCGCCATAGTTTTCTTTTTTTTTTTTTTTTAGAATGTCACATCATATACAGTATGTAAACATTGAGATTGGCTTCTTTCACTTAATTTGCATCTATGGTTCCATTGAGGTTTTTAATAAGTATTATACTAACATGCATGGTATATAAGAGATGTTCTCTAGATTAAGAACTAAAATTATAAGTCACTCTCAAAAAAAGCTCTGGAAAACTTAGTAAGCTAAATGTATGACTTTGGTGGCTGTACGTCCGTTAGAGAATCATTTTTGATTGATATTTTGATAATAGTTTTGATTAATACTAATATTTTGTCAATTAGTATTTTTCGGTTGAATGGAAAATATTCTGTCAATTGAATGTTTTTCCTCCCTTTTCTGACCCAGCCAGGTTTTCTGAACTGCTGAATTTTATTTACGATCCATATTGTGTGCATAATTTTAAGTTTAATATGACCAATAACGTCACCAAGGCAGTTCTTTTGCCCTTATGTTCTTGTTAAAGTGTATAATTGCTGTATAATTAGTAATAAGATTTGTTTGTCTTAAATTCTGGATAACTGTGTATATTGGTCATTGTTATATCAGATTCTTAATATGTAGAATCTCTTTTATAGATCTAGCTGTTCCAATAGATTATTTTTATATTCTTATTAAAATATATTACTAAAATAGTTTTGTTATTTCCTAAAATTCAGAAAACCAGAAAGATTGTTTTAGAGGGATTACCAAAATGATTCTTCTAGTACTTGCTTCATTCATGTTTATCTTTCCCCAAACTAGACTGTTCAGAGCAGTGAGTGGGAGGGCCTGGAGTCTTCTGCTTTTATGTGGCCTTAGGTACCCTGTAAATGCTTTCTTTTGCATATCGGATTGTGTGTGTGTACATAGATATGTACACACACACATATATACATATATATACACACACATATATGTATTTTTTGTTTGTTTGTTTGTTTGTTTGTTTTTTGAGACAGAGTCTCGCTCTGTCCCCAGGCTGGATGGAGTGCAGTGGCGCGATCTTAGCTCACTACAAGCTCTGCCTCCCAGGTTCACACCATTCTCCTGCCTCAGCCTCCCGAGTAGCTGGGATTACAGGCGCCCGCCACCACGCCCGGCTAATTTTTTGTA